TTGTGCCCGTCAGTGACTTCGGCTGGACGGCTCCGGTACAGCGGGGGGGTGTGGCTCCAACACGTCCACAAGAGCTGAGAAGAGAAGGAAGACATACTTAAGGCATACAAGGCATAGCTCTCAGGTATGCTTCTGGAGCTCCCATGCTCTCAGGTATTCTATGCTGTCAGAAGAATAGAACATATTCCATCATCGACCATCTGCAAGGTAATGTGTGGCTGGGACTTGGTCAGAGCAGCCTTCCACAACTTGTTAGTCAAATTTTGCAACTTAAAGGATTTAATGGTAGCATTTGATATTTTCGTATGTTGACGGGGTGGGTCCCCTGTTTACTAATGTTTAGTCATCAGAAGCGCTCAGACATCTACCGGCTTCTACACATACCCAATGGTGGCCAGATATTCTTGCCAGAAGCTGATGTGGACTTCCCAAAAGGGTAAAAAAAGGAATGATCGAATCTCTTGAATCCCCATAGATTCCCACAGGGTTTATTCGTCCCCAAGTAGAACTGGGCGGACATCTAGGATGTGAAGGACAAACATGGACAAACTGTTTGGGGTACCCAGCTTTGACCACTCCGCTCACATAGCCTCATTGGAGTGATCTCAGGTCCAGTTGCCTTAGGAGAGACCCAGGCGTGCGCCGCGCTGTGCCATGAGGGAGGAGAGTGGAGAGTGAACAGCGTGAGAGAAGCTCTTCAAGTGGATTTGCCAAGTTCAGAGCACCAGCTTGAGAGTTGACAAGTCGACTTGATTCTAGGATCTCCCGGGTTTGAGTCGAGATATTGAACTGGATGGAGAAGAGGAAGGTGAGAAGGGCTGAACCACAATTACAACATATTGCAGCACCCAATCCAAGGTCTTCAACGAGGCCACATCCACCAGCTGCGAGTTGCATTTGAGAACTACCGCATCGTACACATGGTACCATTTGCACACCGGTTTTGGGGCGTGATTGGCCTGGACCCTGGCCCCGGCCAGTGTTCACGCGTTCTCATCAACCATCGTCATTGGTTTGCGAGGGTCGCTCCGAAAGCCGGTCTGGACGTTCTGTCGGCAGAATCCACAGACGGGGTCGTTGGAAGTGCCAAGTCAACTCATCCAACGGTGCCAACGATCCTCCCATCTCGTCCCAGAAGAAATCTTCACTCGGTGTTCAATCGCTTGGGCCTTTGACTGTCAGCTGGCAGGTTTTGGATCTCTGTTTTTGGGAGAAATATGCCGGCTATATGATATTCCCATCACCATTTCGGACGTCTACGAAGTCGAATTGACCGGATGTCATGACCACATCTCGCTCCGTAAATAACTGGTCAAACTCTCCACGCATGCGCCACGCAGGCTCGGGGCTTGGAAGAAAAAGGGATGACCTTGACGGACGGCAAACCTGTTAAAGTGACGGAAGGGACGCCGTCTCGTGGCAGAACGGACCCGGATGTGAAGCAATCCAATTGCACATTGTGGGCTGCATGGAAGAATCACCATAGAGGTTGATGTTTTGGGTTGATATTCTATGAAAAGACCCTTCCTTGAAGACCCATCAAAAACCCTGCGGAAGCCGAACTGTTGCTGATCCCCCGTTGCGCTTTTCATGTGTGCTCTTCACGATACCATGGCAAGGCGATCCTCCTGAATCTCCCGAACCTTGTGGCAACAGTTGGAAGTGGGGGTTCTGCTTCCACAGTTAATTTGGTTCAGATAGTAGAAAACTCGGATTTGGCCCGGGGTTGTGAGTCCTGCGGAAAATCGAGAGGTGATTAACTTGGGATTTGGACAATTTGGGTCCGGGTTTTGTGATCTGAGCAGGTGAAGCAACTCAAGCACGCTTGAAGCTCCAGAAATACTGTGCGCCTGTTCATTCTAGTTCTTGTTTGAATGTAATTAGAGTCATTTGGGTACGGACTTAGAGCAATACTTGGATTCTCAGGTCTGAATCACAGCTCGTATGCCAGCTCCATGCCAGTGCTAAGCTACCAACCTGTTTCGACGCCCGTCAACATGTGGGGTTTTCCGTTTGGCTTTCCGTTCGTGGCGCACCGATGACCCATGCTAGCCGCTAGCCTAGGGGTGATGGAACACAGGCAGGACTGCAACTATTCGAAGAAATGAGGTTTATCTGAGAGGTTTATGATTGATACTCTTGTAAAGTACATGGTCTTTCTCATGAGAAGCACGCCTCTTGTATGCTTGTTTTTTTTTGGGTGACTCAGCAACCGAAGACTCGGTCCGTCTCGGCCGCGGGTCGTTTTTGCTTGGACGCAGGACTTCATCTTCCTGCGACAGAAGGAGCCCACGATAGACGCTGAGGCAGGTGGGATGAGGAACTACAACCTGAAAAGACATTGTTTGGTAAATATGAGTAAATTAGTCTGAGGAAACCATGTTGGCCCCCCCTCAGGGCACACGAAACCATGTTCGACTGACTAGGAGAACTGGTGCCACATCTCCACAAGATTGTGTAAAATCTATTGTGTATGACAGATGGGTCATATTGGGAGGTGTACCCCTACTTTCAACCAGAAATGGAGTGCCAACTCAAGGTGAATCTGATTAAAGCAGTTGATCCTGAAGCATGTCCTTCATGAAAGGGGCACAACATGCAATTGGCGCCTTTGAAGAGCAGGCGATTTGACCATCAATAACAGAAAAGACCCGTTGGAGAGTTGGAAGTTTAGCCCTGCCCAACAAAGTAAAAAGGGTGATATGGCCTGGTGTGATATGAACATTGACATAGACACCAACAATGGCATCTATATGGTTCACCCAACAAAAAGAAACGAAGAGACCCTATACACTGGCTCAAGTTTCAGGAGTGTACACCCTGAGACTAAAGCACACGAAAAACGCTCCAGGCGTACGCCGTACGCTCCTGTTTGTGCAGCTTCCAGCTCGCTGGCTTCCCTGCAGATTTGACAGGTCACTGACTTCATTCAACATGCTGGAAGCTCAGAGGGACTGTTCGTGTCCTGACGGCTCCTGGAGCGGTGAAACCAGCTTTGGGGCTGGCAAGGTTGAGTGCTAAACAACAGAATTACTACCTGGAATGATCCTGGAAGTGGAAGAAGGCCTTTTGGATAACACTGAACCTTTTGCCCATTTTACTCCACAAAGCAGGTGTTCCACTTCCTTGATGAGTCCAGGGGGTGTAGAGCAAGCCTTTGGTGCCTTTTGTGCCTTGGTGTCTTTTCTCCCTGCCGATCCGGATCGAGGGCCTCCTCTTTCATGTTTCAGTCGAATCGAGGGATGCCACATGAAGTATGGTGAAGTATGGTGTTTTGATTCTGATCAGAAGGGTGGATATTCATAGCATTCTGGTGAAACATGGATTGCATTGAATTGGAATGAAGAGTTATGATGCTAAGGTTTGGTTCCCTAGCGTTGAAAGCGCAGGAGTGCGGAACCTTCAAAAACTTCCATCCACGGGCCTTTGGGAAGCTTCAAACTGATGCAGAGACGTTCCTCGAGCTGGACAAATAGGTGACCGGCAGACATCATGTTAACCTCCAAACCTTTAGCAGAGCAGAAAGGATGAAGGATGACCGGGCCTGTCGGTTTGAACTGTCCAAATTCAACCAACTCAGTCTTCTCATGTGTTCAGAAACGTCCCAAGGTCCCCAACTCAACTGACCAAATTCAACTTCAATCCCAACTCAGGCTTCCCTCCTGTCAACAGGTTCTCCCTGCCAACCCGCCATTGAGGCAAAGAGCCAGAATCGCAAAGCCGTGGGCCTCAGCGGGTTTCCTCGCAGCGGGCGAGGCTTGGGGACTCACTGAGGCGCACGGTGTCATCATTTGGTGAGGATCATTGAGCCGATCATTGAGTAGGTCATTGATGATCATCGCTTGCTTGATTGATTGATTACATGCCATGGCTGCTTTTCCTTTTCACCATGGGTTTGTATGTTCTTGGCCTTTGGGTTATTGAATTGAAACCAAACCTGCAAGGTGCTTCGTGGTGGTGTGGTGCCAGGGTGGGGTTATGATCACATCGTAGCACTTGAAGGGACCGTTCGTGCTCGTGCGGCGATGCCGCGAAGGCTGCGGGAAAACATTCTCCGCTCGGCTGCGGATGCTGTCGTTTGTGGGAGGTTGCAGGTTGCGAAGCCAGAGTGGGTGGAGGAAGGGGTCCTGGACACCTGCACCTCCATGAAAGCTGCATGGAGATGCCTCATGGAGGTTGCAGAACTAACAGCGACAAAGGATTGGGAAGGCTTGGGTGCGAGGATACCAAAAATGAGACACACAAGAAGGTGGATGTTTGTCCTTTTCTCCATGAGGAAACAGGGAGTCCCCATAAGTCCCTAGAGTTCCACTTCTCAGAATCTCTCAGACAGGCTCGAAGAAGAACACGTATGGTCCGGCGTTCGACATACGGTGGAGATGCGATATTTCCGTCAGGGCCGATGCCACGTCACCTCCACGGACTCGAGAATAAGGTCAATACATGTCAATACATAATGTATATGGTACTATATGGTCAATATGATGTCAATACACTATACCTTAATGTCAATACTTATACATAGGTCAATCATAATACACTATTCTACAATCCCTATTATGATTCCATTAATGTCTATTGTGCGTGTTTCCTCTTTGCATGGAACAAACTATATTGATCAAGTGTTGTTTATTTTTATTTCTGAACTACTCTGCATTGCTGTCACCCGATATGGAGGGGTGCTCTGGGGAGGCGAACGACAAAGGAATACGCTTTTCGTTCGCGCATCGCGCACAGGAGATGCAAGCAGAAGGGTCCATATAGGTCCAATTGTGACTGGGAAGAGATCCCCGTTGAACTCCCTAGTTTGTAGTAGAGTGGCTCATATACCAGAGCAAAAGAATCAATATTTATCACTCCCTGAGAAAAAGCGTACAAAGAAAACACCCAACAAACTGCCTCTGGACCCCAAAATTCTATGCCCCACCTTTGTCCTCCTTCTTTTACAAGTCACGAAGACTTTTGCTTTTCCCGCGTGTAACGCATGTGAGGTCATCGCAATGACCTTCTCTTCAATGCCGGTAGGCAGGGCTGTCGTCAGGTTCGATGGATGTCGGAGTCGGGATGAGGGGTTAGGGGTCACGGATATGACCACTTAGAGCCTGGGATGAGAGAAGACGAAGATGGTTTGCTGGGTTCTAGAAGACGAAGTCTTGTCACATCTACGTCTTTGCAAAGTGAGGATGCTTTCATGGTTCAATAGGTTTGCTTTTTGGGGTCTAGGATGGTCTAGGTCTCAGGCTGACGCGACATCGCGTCGTGCTACACGACGCGTTCCCTCGCGTTCGCTCGCCAGGCCTGCGGAGGATCCTGAAGATTGCAGTTGGGGGAGCCGAGACTGCCAGGTTGACCCATCGGTCCGATCCAGAGGGTCCCAGAGGGTCGGATCGGTGTCAACCAGTGGGTTGACTGGTCGGGTGGGGCAACCGGTCGCCGTGGTCTGGTGTGTCTTTTGCATGAGAAACTGGGAATCACCGTCCACTCTGGAGCATTGCAGAAAAGAGATGTCCAGCCATCACTTTGAGCTGACGGTGCAAAAGGGAAGATGAGGAGTCCACCTACAGTCCGCCTCACCAAACAAACAAATCCCATGTCCTATGCAGAACAGCTAGTGTTGACAGGCTCTCACCAACAATCAGATGGGATTCATGTTGGTTTGTCAGGGAAACCACACCTGTGGTGTCTACCTCGCTGTTGAGGTCCGGAAACAGATTGGCTGAAAAAGCAGTGCTGCCATCCAGGTTCAACCCTTGTGTTGGTTTCTCCAAAGGCAATCAGGGTATATCAGGTTGACTGTCCACCAAGCACATGATACTGCAAAGTCCTTCCCCTTTTGTTTAACGTTCTTGAAAAGCTGCTGAGATTGAACGACCTGAGATGCCGTAAAGTCGGCCTCTTGGATGAGTCGAGATGTCCCGATTGCAAGACTCATCCCAATGGCAAACGACGCATGATTCTTGCACCTTACTCGATGAAACAGACTCTGCCCCAAAAATCGCGCAGAGTCTCAATTCAAGTATGGAATTCACCTTAAGTTTCACCTTATTATAGCGTATTATAATATTATAGCCAGAGCCGAGAGATTCCACTTGAGTCCCAAAGAATTATTGGGAGAGTGTAAACAAATAAATGAATATACGTGTCCCAAAACCAAATCCAGACGTCTAACCGCCGCTCACTACAGCCGCGTAACGCCGTCGTAACGCGGCGTGGCGTTGGAGCGTCGGCGTTGAGGTCATCATTTGTCGTGACTGCAGAGTCGAGGCGGCTCCTGCGCAGCGAATGGGTCGCGCGAGCGGATGGTTTGGATCGGTGAAGAACAACCACCCGCGGTGAGCATGAATTACTGCCCGGCGAACCACTAGGCTTGTTGGAGAAAAAATCCCTTGTCCGACAGGTTCACATCATACTTTAGCTTGCTTTTGGTTTACTGTTCAGATGGTCCGATGCAGATCGACATACGCGCCATTGGCAAGAGATCCACATGGTTTTAACTTCCGAGCGGTTGCCACCTGGACCTGAACTACGAAAAAAAGCCTTTGGCCGCCCGCAGTTTTGGTCAACCAGTTCCCCTTCCAAAGATGCACCTCTAGGTGCGCAGATGGATCCTGAAAGATCATCTATTTGGCAACCCCCAAAATCGGATCCTCCAGGCAATCTGTGAAAAAGAAATGCCAAATCAAAATCGGAGTTCCTTTTTGGCAACCCAAATCCACGGATTTTGCCCTGAAAGACCACCAGCTGAAAACCAAGAACTTCGGAGCTCCAACGTGACCATCGGGATTTGGGGTGTTGGGGAGCGCTTCCAGAGCCCAAATCCCAGGGGAAGCGGCCTGCAGTGATTGCCATGGCCCGGTGCTGAGTGGGGAAGGGATTCCCACAAGAACCTCGCAGCAGAGGAGGCGTCCAGCAACGCTGGTTCTTTGTGTTTGCGTTTTGTGGGACATCTGTGGAACAGAACTAAAACTCCTAGCTCCCGAAGATAGGGAGCTCTAGTGCTTGGGGAGCTTACTTTGTGATTCAGAGCACCTCCTGTAAATGAGGAGGCTGCTTCCAATACAGGAACCAAACAGCCGTGAGAAACGCAAATTTAGGTGGAATCAAGGACCACAGACAAAACCAACATTTTGTGGGTGATCGTCGGGATCGTCAACTTTTTAGCCTACGAATAAAATCAAAGTACAAAATCAAAGTCCTTTGCAGTTTATAGCTGAAGCAGCTTTGATGAGCATTTTGGAGGTTGAACTACTAATCCCTCCCTCTTTATCTAGACCTCCACCATATGGATCCATTTGGCAATCCCCAATTCACCGTTAATCGAGGAACCCAATGAAGTTCCCAGCTTGAAGGACTTTAGACGTGTGAGCGGATCTACATCCCATATCATCTCATGCTGCAATCCATTCTGGTCGTCCCATTTGGAAGCCAACTAAACAACTGCCGTTTGGGACGACACCAAAATGCGCGACGCCGGGGGTAGCTAGCGGCGATCGAGGTGAAGGGCCAACCGGCAGAGGCTCGACGGCCGGAGGAATCCTCCGAGGAGGCGTGGTGGCTTCGAAAGTGGACGAAGGGAGGAGGGTCGAGCTAAGGCGTTTGAGTTACGGCGAGGTGTTTGGGTGGACTGTCTAAGCTGTATTGCGTTGTAGTATATATATATATGTATATCTTAAACAAATCTAAACCAAATGTATAAGATACACAAATATACACAAGAGTCACGAGAGCTTGGTGGAGCTGTTGGTTCACCATGTTCAGCATGTGATTTATTGGCAAGAGGGTTGCCCTACTCACGCAAGCTGAAAAGCTGCAGGAGAATCAACACTTAGTTGCAATGAACTGTAGAGTTGGATGCTGGAAATTTGGCCGTTTTTCTCAGAAAAGATGTAGTGGAAATCGGCATTTCTGTCCTTTGGTCAGACGCTCTGGAATGTAACGCTTGCCGGAAGACACGGAGCCAGGAACTGATCATTTTTGGAGTGTTTTGTTCGTTGAAAAGAGTTTTTTATACATCTAAGCTTTGAGTGCGACTGTCCATTCATTCGGAGAGAGATCGTCTTCCTAGCCTGCTCGAAGCGTATCAATCTAAGCTTTAGGATTGATGAAGCAACAATTTGGACGTCGGGAGGTGAGTATTTCAGATGGACGTTTCTCTTGAATTGCCCCCTTGATTCACTGATGGGACGGTTCCAAGCCAAATCCATCAGACTTGCTTCTTGCAGACTTCTCTGGCTCTAAGCCAGGAGAAGGAGCACTTCATTCAGGAGAGCCCACAATCTTGGGTGGAGCTGGGTCGCTTTGAGTCTATCTATTGTATTTTGCCATATGGGGTCCTGTTGAGGGAAGAGTTCCACACTAGCACTGCAATTTATCCAGGAAATCCTAGGGTGTGCTAATGCAGTGATGTTTCTGGTTCCTGCAGTCATGTGGTTGCTAGGGTTGACACGTCATGTCAGAGAGAAACTTTGACAAAAGAGTGTCAAGGGTTCATTCGAAGGGCTTTGCATTGTAAGCCCTTCGGCTCTGAAGCAGGTGATGAAGCCCTTCAGTCCCTACAAACCATCTTTTTGTAGCACAGCCCATGCAACGACTGATGAGATTGGTGATGATTTGGTGGGCCCAGTCCAAAAGGTCCAATGGTCAGAGCAACTATTGTTAAAAGAACTACTTCAGAAAACCAAGGCACCGAAAGGCACCAAAAGGTCAGAGATTGAATGATGGTTCGACTCCTTTTTCTGGGCCATGGCTGAATGTGAAATGATGTGGGCTTCACACAAATAGTTACTTATATATATATATATATCTCCATGGGGCCATGGGTCCTTAGTCTCTCCAACACACACACACACTCTCCAACACACACACACACAATGTTTCCCATCGCTTCCTGTCGCTTCCGCACGAACTCGTGCTCTTCCCATCGCCCGAATCGCGAGAAGCGGCGGCTCTTGGTGATGGACAAGTCTTTAGACTTCGGCGTGCTCTTCCCCCAGGCGTGGTCGCCCTTTCGGTGGAAATCGGACTCCAGTGATCACCAATTCAATGTGATGCTTGAGTGTTTGGGTACAGGATTGGCTATTCGAGGCATTTCCCGGAAGGGACTTGGAAGTTTTGAGAAATGATGAATATGAATTGAGAGCTTGAATCGAAAGCCTTCCAAAATGCTCAGGTTTCTACATCTACTTGGGGCCGGTAGAACAGCTGAAAACTGCACCAACAATGAGTAATACCACAATACCATCATCCTGAAGACGTCCCTGGTTGTTGAGACATGGGTTTGGATGTATTTCTGGTAGCCCCAAATCCAGAGAAGGCGATGGCGATGGTGTCCAATAGGTTCTATGAGGTGAATTGCTTTTCGATCCACTCTGTGGGCCACCATAGACTCCTTTTCTCACCAGGGAATTCGCAAGAGTATGGAACTGCTCATTCCAATATTACTTAAACCCACTTCTAAACTTCTATTGTTCCTCCAAATCTCGGAGCTCTCGACTTCCTTGCCCCAAACAGTCCCTTCTCGGAACCCGCCGGTGGATCCGGGTGCGTTTCAGGTGGATGCATTAATCCTTCATGGTGGTTTGGGCGTGACCAGTGAAGCCTTGTTGGCCGCTTGGCGCTCCAAAGGATGGCCAAGCCTTGTTGGTCAGGGAATGTAAGGGAGGACTGAAAGGACGGGCTGGCACCGGAGGACGGATGGCCCAAACGTGCATTTAGCTTCCTCATGTGTTCTCATTGTGGAGGTATGTTGAGGTGTTTGTACGATGTATTTTTGTTGGAAGCGCGATGGCTAGAGATGGCTAGAGTTAGTATGAACATGTACTGAAGAAGCTCATCTTGTTTTGGGAACAGTGCTTTCGCCCAGCCTCTGACGATCAGCTGCTTGGTTCACTCTAATCGTCTCACTGCATTGGATGACTTCGTAGAACAGATGCCACCCCAGGGGCATACTCAACGTCTTAGTACAAGAATTGGATTACAACTCATGGGCATGCTTGTTGACCCTGATGGGTGCCAAGTGGTTGCAGAGGCGATGTATTACTACAAAATACCTACATATTACATGCGCGCAAAGCTATGTTGTCAGCGCACAAGAGGTCGCGTAACACTGTGCCGTCAGTTTCTGCATTTCCGTGATGCACAGACGTGGTTAAATGATGTTAAATAAGGCAGAACCCAAGCCATCGACCATCCCATGTGGATTTCGTCAATGTTGCAATACGTTCCCTCAAATCCGTTGTTGAATTTTGATATTCAACAAATTCACAACGCACATTTCCCACAACGGGCGCCTTTTTTGTACATTTAGATGACCCGAAAGTGCCCGAAAGGTTGGACTTACTGATCGACGGGGATTTGGCACAGGAAGTTAGTTTCCGCATTTTGGTCGATGTTGGGCGAACTGCTAGCAGGGTTGCCTCTATTTCAGGTCGTTTCCTCTTCCTCCGTGCGTTCTCGGCCCCCACCTCATCGACCAAGGCTGGAAAGCCTGCCATCACCAGCGGCATCCTTCTCATGGACCGCTTGACCGCTCGACCGCACGCGAGAGAACCGCGGCGAAACCCGAAAGAAATCCTCACTTCACGATCGACACAATTCGATCAACATGTGGAAGTAAGTAGGTGTCAGTAGCCCGGAGAGGGCATGTGGATCGCCCGGAGAGGCCCAGGAAAGGCTCATAGGGCGTTTTCTTTATCGGCGATGTGGTGTGAGCTCATGGTGACGATGGATGTTCCACCGAAGGCTGGCTGTTGGTTTTTCCATGTGTTTGTTGACTTCAAAGATCTAAGCATCAAAGACCCAGGTGTCATTCATTCTTTGGCATCCCTGCTTTCTGTGAGCATTTTTTTTATGTGAGATGTTACCAACCTGTTTCTTGATGGAATTATCATTGTTCCTTCCCTGGAAGAATTCCTTCCGGCCGAACACGCTTTGAACCGATCATAACAGGACCAGCGCTACTGGGCAGCCCGGCTGAATGAACTGGGCTGTGGATCTCAGGCGCGGAGGACCAGGTTTCGCGCCATGGTTTTCGTGGATGTTTGGCTGCGAAACCTTTCGGGCCAGGGGGAGTTTCAGAAGAAACGAAACGAGAAAGAAACTCCCAAAAGTAAAAGTCACTGAACTCCGTGTTTTGTTGGAGTCTGTGCACTTGTGTTCGGTCGCGCCCACTGGTGCCAAACATGCCGTCTATAACGCCCTGCCGCTGGCGCCGCCGCCAGGGCATTAGTGTGGATGACTTGATGAGTGCGACTCCCGGGGTGGGTTGGGGTTCACCGATTGGGTCACCCCAGCAGGGCACGGTGGGAAATGTAACTGTACTACTTACTACAGTCATTACAGTCATTATAGGTTGGAGGTATGGCCCTCTATGACTATGTGACTATCTCGAGCCGTGGCAGATGTTTCAATGCCTGAAGCTGTGATTCGATTCTTTTGGAAGACCGCAGTGTCGGCTCCACACATTTTTGGTGTCTTCAGAGTCACCTTCGCCCCCACAGACCTACAGGATATTCTAAGATCCTTAGGGGATAGAGAGTCTTGGGATGGTTATTTGTCCCAATCAGTTTTTTGAGGATTTTCTTTGGAGATATCATGTGAGCACACGTGGATCATGGATGAATGTGCCAACATCAACTGGCACTTTGAGAATTGCCCAGTACAAGTTATAGCCAGACAGCACGATGTCCCCCTTTGAATCACCGGAGCTTCGACTCAGTGTCGTTCGTGAGGCAACAACGGCACCACGGTGGGGGCGCCTGAGCCACGGTGTGTGAAAATGAAGAACCCGCTGGTCGGTGAAGATGGGCCATGTTCCACTTCTCCCGAGTATGCACATCCTGGTCCCCCCTGTTTGCTTTAGAGCAGTGAAAGATAGTGAAAGCAGTGAAGCATTGAGCTTGAGAGGAAAGTTGAATGTTATATAATATAAACATGCAAGACTCCAGGTGCACGAAGAATCCTTGCACATCCTTGCACCCTCCATAGCAGATAGCAGGGGTCGAAATCCAGTGTGAGGGCCCAGAGTTGCCACTACAGCATCCCACCTGGGAACAGGACAGGGATGGGTTGTCGACTTGTGTAGCCCATGATGCGAACATGGTATCATGCTGCTTTTGGGGTTGTTTTCATTCTAAGAAGTCCAGCACCTTTTTGCTTGAGGCCTAAAGTCAGACTTGGAACCCTTGTAATTACAATGAGCTTGCATCGAGGTGACAACTCTACAAACTCTTGACTATGGTGCAGAGGCACACCGCGGCCCCTTTTTGGGGCCAAAAACGACACATCAAAAGAACCACCTGTGGCCTGCCAATTCAGAAGCAGACCTCCCAGCAAACCGCGCCCTGCACAACTGAGCCACTGAGCCATTTCTTCTGAGTTGGTGAACCTCATCCATCAAGCGCTCCTACCTTCCATTGAAGGCCCAGCTGTCACGAAGCGGTGGCACCGGATGACGTCAAAAGGGATGACATGAAAAGGGACGCATGTGACGTGATGTGATGTTCTTGTTTCATAGTGTTTTGCTATTGACTTGAGGAAGATCATTGGATAGATGAGGTCAACGACACCGAAAGACGTGTTGGAAAACGTTGCAACTACAGTGTACTACAGTAAGCAACAACTGAAACAACAGAAACAACATGAACAAAGTTCTTTGGGGCTCATGCGCATGGCCATGTTCTATGTCTTGAGGCTTGAGATCCCTTCATCTGAACAGCCGAAGAATGTTGGGCACCAGAACTCTGCACAAGTTTCCCTGTGGTACAAGGCCTAGCTGGATGTACATTCAGTCCAACTATCGAATCAACAAAGGATCAAATCCGTTAGGGAGGATTACGTGTACCCTAGAGCCTGTGGCGATACTCTCGGAGTTTGGTGTTTAGTACGTTCAGCTTCATAGACTTTGGGTGCTTTTTCATGCTTTTTCAAGGTTACCTACCAACTACCATTCACCTCGCCACTGCTAATCTGATCGCTGGCTGTGTGTTGTAATTAGATGTGTTTAGATCTTTGTGTCGCACAAGCACTGAGCGGTGGCTACCCTGTTGATTGCTGTTGCCTTGTGATGGATCTTTCCATATCTTTCCACCAGCGACACATCTTTGGGCTTTCCCAGGTTTCCAATTTCCCAGAACTCATCGCGGGTGTTGCTGGTCAACGTTGCCCAGGTGGTAGCTCCTGGATGGCACGCGCCAAAGAAGTGCAAGACCAGATCCAGGCCATTTTGGAGGGATGACCCATCGTAACTTTGAAGGATGCTTTGAAAATAATCTTAAGCTTCCACCAGTCCGGCTTTAGGTTCGTCATGAAACTAGGGGGAGTGATCCCTTCTACCATTTTCTACCACAACTTCTGAGTGTTGGACACTGGGCAACTCCAGTAGTTTGAGGCTCATTGTTGCTTCCCACAAAGTTTGTGGTACGAAATTGATGGAAAGCAACACCTGGGCCCGGGGGGGAGCATCCAAGATCAGAAGGAAGATATGACATATGGAAAGACTTCCCTCAGCGAAGTCGGGCAGCACCGAAGTAGGGCCCTCAAGGTGACGCCGTGGTTGCCAGTGGTGATTTGGCTGTGGGGTCAACACCCGGAGCCAGTCCCGGAGCCCTAAGTCTTCTTAGGTTGACCTCATTTCATGTTCTGTGGTCAATCGGGGTCCCCGAGCTTTGACCCACAGCCATCTCCCAACATTTAAAAAGTGAGTTAGCTAGCAGCCGCTGCTGTTCACGCCATGATGGTCCATGTTGGTTGGAGGCACACGTTGGTCGGTTATTACCTATTATGATTATGATCTATTACGCATATATAATGAATACCTCACTCAAAAATCATAACGGTGCCCTGTTTTCAACTATGCATCAAATCCTTTGTGGTCTTTTGTGTTGTTTGCATGTGTTGAGAACCACGACACATCCTCGCCTCGAGACAAATCAACGCGCCTGGAAATGGCACCAAGCAAACTCAATGGTGGTGATGTCCACCAACAACAATGCCTACCACTTGGCCATCCAACCATCCATGTCAATCTCATCATATCTCACAGGTCACGGTCCAAGTTCCAACGGATCGCGGGCCGTTCCGCACCGGGGAATTCTTTTTACGCCCGGGAACCGCAGGGCTATCGTGGCGCCTACGTCGTGATGGAGTTCAAGAGACTGGAGATCTGAGACAAACGACGAGGGGAGGAAAAGATGGATCGAAAAGGGATTCGAAAACACGATTCGACCAACGAAGGTCCCAGAATTCTTGAGCAGGTCCGTTGCCAATGCTTCACGACTCAAGACATCTCAAGACTCACGACGTTTGCGGAAACTCGCCGAATACAGCAATCGGATCCAAGCTTGTTGTGAGAGCTCTTGAAAAATTTCCATGTCCGGTGAACAGCTATTTCCTGGCATGGAGGGCTTCATCATCCCCGACATGATTCAATACCTAAAACATCCTTCAACTGATGTAAGACTGACTACTGTGTTGACATACTATTGCTCGGAGACATGTGTCATCATGTATCCTTCAGCGCCTTCCATCGCGGTGAAACCTTGCTCTGCCGCGAAACCCTGACAGGAGGAGTGGAGAGCTTATCGTCAAACCTTCACACGCCCCACCGAGGAGTACTTCCTCCGTGACAGGCGGTGGAGCCTTCCTCCGCTGTTTCGGTATTTCATGTCGTTGCGCTAGACAGTGCCGCATGTACTATTTTGATCTATTTTGTGAGACAGTGTGGGATTGTTGTTGAGCAGGTTCAAGCGACAGACGGGAAACAAATGCATGTAAAGACTCCTCACGTGTTGTGAGCATGTTCAAATCATATGGAAAATGGTTGAACATTTGATGAAAACTACTACCAGGTGCCCTTCGAGAAGGTGCGTGGACAGATTCCTCAACGATAAGCTTTCCCTGCGACAAGCCAATTTGTGGGAAATACCGCTAAGACCTCTCTGAAACAGGGGCTTCTCAGAGTGACTTTCCCTGGAGCTTGTTTAGATATGAGTGTCTGTCTATATGAATCAATCTTTTGGTGCTAGTTGCATGATGCTTAGGCCCTGTGATTCCGAATCCTGCCATCCGGCACCTGCAATATTGGATGGATTTCGATCACACCCATTCATTTGGTGTCTCAGCAGAGTCTGGGAAGGATCGTAGCACCAACATCACGCTTATGTGGTGTGCCATCCCGCACCAACACACCTGAACTGAGCTGCCAGGCACGGACAAATCACGGGTTTCACGACCCTAGATGAACGCGACTTGGCGATGCCGATGCCGAACCGTGTAAAAACCCTTGGTCCGTGGCAGGTCTTTGGTTGCCCTTGGTGAAGAAGTGGCGGTTATATAGTTGTTTTCATTTGCTTCCTAAACTCATTGGCTGGTGAGTTGGTTGGTTACTTCACAGGTGTGGGAGAAGCCCTTGCAGGGAGGTACAAGCCAATGCTGGCGGTGTCAGTGCAAGCATCGAACGAAACGTTCGAGACATGTCAAGTCCAATAGAGCACAGTATACAGAGTGGCTCAAAACTAGATTATTGACCCCAAACACGGGAATCAAACACGGGAATGTGCATACTCTCAGGCAAGTTCTCAGATATGCAGATATGGATCTTCAAGTGAGGCATAGTTCTGGAAATGAGAAAGTCCTTGCAGGTGCAGTGAGCCGAGTCTCCAACCCAGACCCTTAAATCCAATCCACTGCGACCGAGACTCTGGACCGTCGAATCCACGAGACTCTCGTTCATACCCCCTGAGACGACGTGGACAACGGCGAGGCCTTACCGGAGGAAGCCGAAGCATGCGAGGATGTGGAGCTTCACCGGTTACGAGGATGGTCACCATGCGATGGTTCTTAGTTCCATTCAGATTGACCTGTATTAAGAAGAAGTATACCACCGTTCGGTAACCCTAGAATGCAAGCCTAGTATCACTAATGCAAAGCAGGACTGAAACCCTCAATTGCAGGGGAATCATCCAAGAAACCTTAAGGGTTCGGATCGTTCAGACTTGCAACTCGACTTTTGGCTCAAGCGAGAGGAAAAAGGGCGCCTGGGCGTTCGGTCTCGCGTTTTTGTGGTTATCAGCCGTAGGCTCCCCAGCCTACGGC